AAAATTTAAATATAATGGCTCTAGTCGTCTTAAAATATACCTAAGGAATTTTTATGTTTTAGTCAAGTGGCCAGCAAGCAATATGCACGCCCGAGACCGAGAAAAGTAGCGATGGAAATCTCTTTTCAAATATATTGCCGATAGGAGCTCATTTAGTTCTATTGTCTAACTTTTAAACTTCCTGTACATTTTTTACATTTTGAGTACCTTATTTTTTCATTCATTGGTTTGCCGGTTTTATGCCTTTTAATACCACTTTAGCTGTTCAGTTCTATTACCTTTCGTACTTTCTATGTTAATTCAGCGAATAGCAAAATAATAAAATAAAAAAAAACCTTATAGAGAATAAAAGTATTGCACACGACCAAAAAAGCACAATATTCGTTCCACAGGACGCGTTTGGTCACCTCACTCCTAGTTGTCGTTTAGCCTCAGAGATCCCACATGCAATTGCAAATTTTTACCTTGACGAAGTTACCGCCCTCCATATAACTAAAGTTGTTATATCGATCCAAGTATTTATCCAATACTGTTTACGAAAGAAAAAATTGAAAATATGAAGAAACTTATTTTTTTCCCTTTTTATTACTTAGACGCGTTAAAAAGTTATTGTAACCTTTTTTCTTCTTGTTTTTTTTTTTGAACAAAAAAACTACTTGCCTTTATGCAAGTGCTATGCTTTATTTCCTTCTCTCTCCTTTTAGGTTAGCAGAGTGTTTTTGAGGTGTAAAACCACCACAAGACCTCAGACAAAAAAAAGTTTTTTTTTCAAGTCACAAAGCAAAAAGAGGGAAGATATACTGAAACTGCGAAAAAGTTTATATAATTTAAACGAGTCAATTTTCAAATTAGATTTCACTTCGATTAAATGTTACGTTTGTCAATTTTGAAATGTTGAATTTTGTATATGATTTTATTAGATTAAAAAGCATTTTTTAGTTACACAAGGATTTCACACATTCGATTGGGCCATGAATTTTTCAAACATCTTATGCTATGCGCTCGTTTAATATATCTCCTTGCCCAGATTGTTTGGAGGACATACGGGTTAGTAAGACATTTGATAGAGTTGGTCATTAGCTCTTTGAACTTCAGTCATCTACTTTCCTCGCACATTTATTGGATCGGATATCCTCCTGTCTAGAAAACAGATTTTTTAGAATTCTTTCAACTCTGTGTCTTCTAACAATTTTCGTGTCTCCTAAGTCCCTTTTTATTTAGACTTGATAGCAGTGATCATCCATGGGTGATTAACTCTAGTTTTTAATGTGGGAACGTACTGATACGGCCTAGAGCCTAGTTTTGATAATTTGGGTGCATGGTACTCGTTTAACTTTACTGAACTGAATACTGAATACTTACGAAGTAATTTATAGCTTCGGAAAAATTGGAAAAGACAGAGACATTCATCGACTTGAGGGTAGTGTTTGACCAAAGATTACGTTTTAATGTAGATATTGAGCTTATCATATATAAAGCAAAGGCTGCTCCTTGCTTTAACTAAAAATCTTTCAGATCCTTATATTGCCAAAAGATTATACATAAGATTGGTGAGACCAGTACTGGAATATGCTTCTTTCGTTTGTTCTCTGCCCTATAGGACTTATGTAGTACAATAGAATCAGTGCAAAAGCCACTCCTGCTTCTTGCGTTGAGGAATTTGAGATAGGATCCGATAGTCTCTCTGCGAGTATATGAAAATAGATTGCTATTATTAGCACTGCCCTCACTTGTAAATTGAAAAGCGAAGGTTGATATTAGTTATTTCCCTCCTAGTTAAGCTAACACATGGCGCTTTGACTCGTCATCCTTATTAGGAACGGCCGTGAATCCAATCTCAAGATTGTGGTAGAGCTTTCAATAAGGACGACAACCTTACATATATTTTTCAGTGCGACCAATGGCGCAGCGAATGACATCCTACACGCATACCACGGCGATAGTTAGAAGGAATCAGGGAAAGAGAAATAGACAGGAAAATGGTGGCCGCAGCTTAATAGATGCTCATCCAATAGATAAGTGTTATGCCCTTGCCGACCGAGCACTGACTATGGCTATGATCAAAATCAATTTCAGGGTACTGAGATTCCGTACATTGCTCGGCTTATTTGTAAATATTTATATAATCTTGGAAAGAGTGTCACGAGATCCGGTAAGAATAATAAAAAAAACTTACCTTACAGCCCAGTTTTTATTTCATTTCGCGAACCAAGGATCTCGGATTTAAAGACATGTTAATTGCGTCTGATTCATCTCCGTAAGCTTTACAGATAGTATGACAAATTTTCACTACGCTCGTTGTGTAGTGAAAGACGTAACAATACCTTCTTCTCTCAATTTTACTTCAATTTTTTTCCAATCAATTGGTTGAAATTAAACACACACTTTAAATTAACGATGAACGGTCTTCGTAGTGCAGACATTCATTGCATTTAATACAGTAATTAGTTGGGAGCTGAAGAAAAAGCAAATAAAAAGATATTAAAAATCGTATTATGCAGACAAGGAATTCCGTCATGTCGGTGCAATTATAAACGTATTGTTGTACACGAAATATTTAGGAAATTCATAATGATTAAATGCATTTAAATACTGCATTAATGTATATAATGTAATGTGCTTGCTTCCAAGAGTACTTGACCCTAATCCATATTGTTTTAGTTCATATGAAGAGCAAACAAAAATAAAGATTAAAATGAAAAAAGGGGGCTGCAAGAGTAGTTGCTAGCTATGTATAAAAAATATAAATTATTTTTCTTAAATTTCACGTATTGCACTGCACAGCCACCATGAAGACAAAATCTTACCTCTTAAACCATATAATAAGTGAAAAATGTTGACCAGAAAGGCTTACCGTTTTGTTTGCCCATCATTTTCATAAACGCAAATTTCGACGCCTGACAGCTAAGAGGGCCAAAGTAAATGAAAACCATTCATAAATGAAATTCATTTATGTTTTGAACATGTTTTTTAATTATTAAAACATTTCCTTAAAAATCAATTTTCCCATCTAGCTAGGAAAGATAAGAATGTGTCAGTGAAATCCATTATTTACCCTTAAATGAAAAAGTCCGAAGAAAGAGTTTTAACCGTTTTAACCGACAGCCAAGAGCCCAATGCTAAATTCAAATAAAAATATTGTCGCTAGCACCGAGAGTGTTAAAAAACGTCCATTAATCTTAATTGCAGAATGGAAAAAAAAGCAAAAAACAATAATTTGGATTTAATCCAACGACTTTGAAAAAACTTATGCATAAACATTTCCATTTAAATTTCAGTTAGCACAACATTCTCCCACACGTCTACTTAAAGAGATGTGCATATGTTATGGCTCACTAAGGGTACTAAGTCTTTGCAGTAAGCATCGTGTATTTTATTTAATATTTTTACATACGTACAAATCAGGCTTCACACAAACTGATTTGTATTATCCTTGCATTAGTGTACGTTTATATTATTCGGGCGAAAATTCTCTCGCAGTATTTCGCAGAAAAAAAGGCAAGAAATATATATTCTTCCTAAGACGAACATTTGGATATCCATAATAGATATATAATAAACTAAAGCGACAATGTCGTTTGAAGCTTCTATACAACTTGGTTTAGTTGCCACTTATGGTACAAAGGTATGTGAAGTTTGTGCGAGTTTTATTATTATGTTCAGTCTAAAGGTCGCAATTTTCGAGGTATTTTTGTGAAACCTGGTGCCCTGACATGTTACGAACAAAAGACGAACAGTGTCGGTTCCATTCCCCTTATAATCCCGGAAATTCTTGGGTGAAAAAAAAATTCGTGATGCTTTCCCGATATAGATGAGAACAAACCAGTATTATTGAACGCAGCTTATTAAACGAGTGCGAAAAATATTGAATTCGGACGCAATCCATTTACGATTACTTTTTTATGTAAGCATTTGTAAAAGTAATCCTTCACAATGACAATTAAATTATGATGAAGCTTCTTCTAAAATCCAAGCCTTCAATAGATAACAAAATATAATTTTTGGTAATTTTTTTAGTAAAAAATAGTAGAAAAAGTGGTTCAGTCCGAACCGATTCCGATACCATTGGTGCTTGAGCTAAGACACGTTCATGTGCCAATTTTCATCAAAATATCGAACGGATGGAGAGACGAGTTCAAATCCATTGCGAAAGTAATTCTGTTGTACTTCTGCGTGCTATATACATCAGCACAAACTTAATATGGACCGCAAGTGGTGTAGGCTGTAAAAACACCAACATTAGATTACATTACAACATTAGATTGCAACAAGATGTTTAGGCTATCTTTACCTATGTTTACCTAACACCCAAGCTGTTAAAAGTACAAATACTTAAAACTGCCTGCTTTCAGCAGCATTTCGCCTTAACAGACTGTGTAAACGGTACAAATCACAACTGCAACAGTGGAGAGAGAAAAAGAGTCAGCTTTAGGCAAAGACAATGTTATGCTTGTATTCAAAATTGACGGGGAAAGAAAAGGTTTAGATGGCTTGAATATATCCCCCAGAGTTAATTGTTTCACAATAACGAGGATAATGCAGTTAATAAAAATTCACTTAATTAAATGTTGTCGAATAAGTTAAGCGGTGGTTTAGCACAGCAACGTGCAAAAATTGTCAACTGTGAACTCTGACAAACTATCGCATGCCCTAAGGGGATCAAGGCTATGAATGAATAAACCTCACTCACTGTTCATTGGCTTCATTGGCATATTTTGCAAGTTTATTGTTTTAATTAAATAAATTGGAAACGAAATGAAACCTAAAAGTAAAAAAAAAATATATATAAAAAGGAATTAATATATAAATATATTTTCCTACTGTTTTTTCTTTTATTTACTTTTTTGTATGTGTTGGTTGAAAACGCTTCTTTTACTGCTCTTGTGGTTTTTGTTGTTGTTATATTTAAATGAAAATTGCGGTTTAAACGAAAACAACTTTTATCTATAATATCGTGTGGTACTCAACCACAAAGCAGCGTACTGCCCTATCATTGTCGGAATGTGCCCGAATGTATGCGTGTGTTGTCTACATAGTTTATCAGCAGCCGCTTTTTCATACATGTGCTATATATATACCTATGCATAAAAGTATGTATGTATGTATGTATGTGCGTATATACGCATGTACGCAGTAGTTTGGCAGCAGACAGAAAAGCATACGTGAAAACATGCAAGAGATTTTTTGTTTTTATGTTGTTGCTCTCCGCTTTTTTTTTTGCATATGCATATAGTCAAGCGTGAGGAGGCAAAAAATCTTCGTAAAAGACTAGACGTGGCCGCAAACATAGGCGTGTAAGGATATAGGCGTACATAAATACAAGCACGCTTCTGCAGACTCAAAAGCGCAGAGAGGCGGGCGGGCATATTTGTATGTTCAACAGTGCGTGATTATGGAAATTCGTTCCATGTATGAGGAGGGCTGCCTTCATTGTGCATTTGTATGCATGCTTGCCTGTATCTATTCAAAGTTATGCATGTGTTTGTGCCAGTAGGTATGAAAGCAACATTTTGAGAGTTTTGTTTTCTTTTTACTCGCCATCGGAAAATAAGAATATATTAATTTTATCAGTTCGCTTGTAACATCCACAAGTCTTATATCATTGTAGATCATAATGTAGACTTTTTTCGTTGTACCTAAAAGTGCTCTTCGCCTTCAATGCAGGGTTTATTAATTAAAATATTTTATTTTGGGAAGGAAAGGGAAAACTTACAAACAAGAAAATCCAATTTCTAAATTTAAAAAAAAGTCCCTAGTGAATTGTTTTCTTTTTCTCACAAACGGCGTAAAGGCACTTCCTTGAGAAAAGGCGTAGTCAGGCGCCTGCAATAATAGGAAATAAAAACTGAAAAATTCGAAGTTTCATCAAAGCTTTCATCTTTTCATCTGCAGAAACTTTAACATGTCACTCAACACGTTTTCTAGGATGGCATACGAATGCTGAATGGTTCCTGATCGATCCATGTGGCCGGCGGTCAATGCGGTGTCGGTAACAAAGTTTGAATCGTGCATCTGTCTCCGTAAGGGCTACTGTGCGTGTATTTCCTGAGTGTGATTGTCTGCGGCGTGTTTGTTGGATAGAGAGTGCAAAGTCCCCATCACGCCCGAACTAGCTAGACTTAAGATGACACGTACGTTCATCCGATACAAGGTCCATGCGTCTGACCTTTCGACTATATTAGTATAATATATTTTTAGCTCGCATAAAAGTGGCAGCCTATGCCAGTCACATTGCAGAAAAGTGTCTGACTTTGACTAGATGAATAAAAATACTACTTTCTATTGCACTAAAGTGGTCGCAGTACATGTTTAAAAGTACATAAAAAAAATTTGTTTTGACATGAGCGCCCTTATCGCACCACTAATCAGACTGCGGCTTTGTATCCAGACTAATGGACCAAACATTTTCTAAAAATTTAACTTGAAGTCTTATGACGGTCCGTAGAATGAAAATAGTTCTAGATATGGAAAGAAGCTTAAAGGAGCTCAGATACACATGAGAAACATGGTTTCGAGTAAAATGATTTTAAAGTTTCAATTGCCAGGAAACATTTGCTTTACCTCATAGATTTGATTTAACAGCTTTGAAGACCTCTATGGTCGTATCAGGATTTTATTTAAAATTTTTTCATCATGAATTACTTTCTGTGCCTGGCAAGTTATCCTGTACTCATCGAATACCAAATACGAGTAAGACTTCACAACTATTATGCTGCCAAAATAAAAATTCTGGGTGGTTTAAAGTTAACGACCAAGTCAAATTCACTCGGAGGGCAGAGTCTTATCAAGAGCACGCAAACTAAATGAAACTTGCGATGTCACAAATCGCACGACTAATATAATATATCGTTAAGTTTTTATGGCGCCTAAAAGAGATTGAAAAAAATCTTAGACTCACATCAGATGGTGGGTAACCAGAATTCGCTGCAAGGCGAATGATCTTAATTTTTTTTTGTACTCTGTAAACCCCTTATTTAATTTTCACAGGCAGTCAAAAAAGAATTCAAAATATGTTAGTGAAGGTCTTAACGCTTCTTTCCAAAAAAATTTAAAAAAAACAAATAATTTGACATTTTAAGGATTCTTGGTTTTTTGAAGGCGTTGTGGCTTCCTTTTTTTTTTGGTAACATTTGTTGAATTTCATTTATGTATTTCGCTTGTTTTCTTGCTATTTAATGTTCTTTCGTCTTTTATTGATTTATGTTTAACACAGTTGTTTACTTTAACTTCGCTCTCCCTCTGTGTCTCTCTCTCTCTCTCCCTCCCTTCCCACTCACAACCGCTCATAGTTCTCTTTCTTGAATACTCGGCTTGTGTTCCTCATGTTATGGACTAATGATGGCCGAGTGTGTGCGTATTTGTGTGTGCGAACTATGCATCAACTTTTGTTTTCCTTTTCTTTTCCGCTGTTTTCTTTTTTTTCCCTTCTTTTTTGCCGTAGTTCAAATATTCATGAAATCCAACCGAAAAAGTTCTAAATAATAAACGACTAGAAACACACTACAGCCACATGAAGAAAATTCTTTTGAAAAAAAAAACTATACATCAGCATGAAGCTTGCTTACGTACCTACAAACAAAGAAAAACGAAAAACATACTTACACACACGCACAGATATACATGTATATATAGGTATACAATAAATATATATGTAAAAGGTTATTTGTGGAATAGAGCAGAGAGAAAGAGAAAAAGAAAGAAAATGTTTGTGGCCATAAATCAAATGGGACACAGTGCCAAAAAACATAAAAAAGAGATGAAAAAACATGAAAATAATATAATAATGCCAACGGGTATAGCTGTGACGGAACAGCAGATAACCGAACCGGCATCTGCAACAAACCAACAAATATCAGCAACAAAAACAAAACAGCAACAATATCTAAGTGAGAGTAGTACAGCTGATGCAACAATAACAACAACAACAAAAAAGGCAGCAATATCACAAGCAAGGGTAACAGCTTTTCTATCACGACCACCAGTACTGCTTGAAACGAAATTTAAAAATTGGGAATGTAATTTACAAAACGACCGGAAACATGCGGATAACAAACAACAGCAGCAACAAAACGAAACCGTAACTAAAACAGCGTACCCATCAAATAACCAACATATGCTTTCAACTGATGTCTATCGCAACTGTAAGGTACTGCGCGACGGCCAACCAACTATCATACCAACCACCACCTTAACCTCACTTTCAACGGTATATCTATATTTGGGTATCCTGACGCTAGCATTGGCATCGCTATCTGTACTATTTTATTCGCATGTCTCCTCCGCCTCAGTCAACTGCCACAATACAAAATTATATTCAACAACAACCACAACAAAACAGCATATGCCAACTGCTGCTGTTGCTGGTGCTGGTGCTGCTGCTGCTGCTGCTGCTGCTGCTGAGTATCGTGAAAAATTTCATCAGGAATTGCTTGCCTCAGAAACTATACTAAGGACGATGATAGAGAATATCATATTACAGCAGGCAATTGCCGGCAAAAGAGAACACTTACAAATTGGCAAATCAATAACAGAGCAGCAGCAAGACAACGCGGTGCGGAGGAATACAAAAGAGAATAATGAAATTGAAAGGTAAAAATAATTAGATTAATGCTTGCAACTGTAAGGAAAATGTCTTTTCATTCAAGAATATCTAATACGGTTAAATAATTTGTTTAAGTAAAAGCAGTTACATTTTCTTAAGAAAGAATCTCATCTCAGCTTATTTTGAACATAAGCATTTTAAAATAAGTGCTTTACTATACGTATATATATACCTGCATAGAGACGGAAACTCAGTTCGCGATTTCTTCTAAGTTGTTAGCTGAGCTTATGAGTGAACTGACGCTTACCATCGTTCCCATACAAAATTCTTCGGATTTTTGCGCTATTTGTTTATCATTTCTAACCTATAGAAGAGAAATTCTTTCTGACTAACCCGGTCGGCACAAACGTCTACTGGGGAAAACCATCAGATCTCAAGAACTTCTTCGTGATATGCACTTAGAACATTCTAAACAAGTGAGAATATTACAGTCGGACAAGACCGACCATATATACCCTACAGCAATTCGCCCAGTATAAGTATTTGCTTGACACCAAAAATGACACACTTTTCATGAAAGCCTGCACATTAAAGGATGCCCAAAGCATCACATGGCGTAGTATAAATTTAACAAACTTAATTTTTTTCCTAAAAATTTTACTATTTTTCAATTTCCTTCATAAAAAAGGGAATATTAGACCCTCTGCCCATATAATGACTTGCTGCTCCCCTGTATTTGTTGCGGTGTAAAAAATAGATATATATGGTCTTTCTCTCTCTCTCTCTTCGTTAAATTGCTTCTATGGAGCAGTTTTCCCGAAAAAGTATTAATGATTAAACCTTCTTCTAAGCTTGTCGCTATTCATGAGAAATCTGATATGGACCGTAATCAAAGAAAAACCATGTGATTCAAATTTGGTCTACATAATTTTTATGTCAAATTACTATCATGAACAAATCTTCATCATAAAGCAGTAACAAATAGGGCTTTTTGGCATGGGAGGGCTTACATTTCCTGACAATTCTTATATACGGTGGTATCCAAAAAATAGACCTACGTGATCCAAATTCGGTGAGATTTATTCGTTTGTCAATTTACTGTCATGAGACAATTTTTACCACGAACTATTGAAAGTTAGATCTCTAAACTCTAAATTCGTATTAACAGAGTAAAACAAGTATTCAATTTTCTTACGCCACAATAATTTTCAGTTTAAATGTTTTTCCTTTCAGTTCAATAAAAATTGGTCCAAAACTCGTTACTTCACGATAACAGCAGGCGTCATTTTAGTTTGCACATATATGAAAAAATATGAATATTTAATTATACGAATTAATTTATGTTTACATACGTAGCAAAGGTTTTCTCAGTCACTTATTTCTTTGATATCATTTAATTACTTAACAATATAAACAAAAAAAAAAAAAAAAAAAAAAAATTGAAGACCTTTGCTTCAATTCCAATCATTTCCGTCGTTCCAAATGTTTCCACTTTCAAGTCAAACGTAGACACAAATACTAGAACGTCGTTTCTCCTCCTTTCCTCCTTAAATATTACCCAGTTTCTTAGATTGATATTGTATACGACCTTGGTAACTATTTGTAGCATATTCTACGTCTTTATCCGCTTTAGCTTTTTAACATTCTTCAAAACAAATTCTTTCCAATTTTGTTAGCGTCGGTTCTTTAGCTATTCAGGGCAGACTTAAACATGTTTTTATCCATCTAATCTGTTGATAGAAATTAAAAATACAAAACTATTAAATATTTTCTACAATTTTTTTAAATATGTTTAAGTCATTCATATGACCGGTCGTCATTCTCTTATATGAAATAAGAAATATACGTTCAACTTTGCTGTAATATATGGATACTCAGTTGCATATCTATTTCTGTTTCTGTTGGTATTGCTGTTTTTGATGACACTTTCATAACCAATTGTTCGTTTTTATAGCAAAATTTTCTGGGTCGCCTTACATCATGCCCTCTATGTGTCTTATTATGTATGCAGGAAAGGTTAACATATTGTGAACTTTCACAAGATATACAATTTAAATTTTATTACTTGCAATAAATAAGATCATCGGAGATGAATTCAATGGTATTAAATATGATGAAATCATATTCTTGTTCTCTTATAACACAATAGAAGAAAGCGATATGTATTAAATGTTATGATTGCAAGTAAAAAGAAAATAATATAGAGCAAGTTGTCTAAAATAATACATACAAGCATATGTACATAAATATATGTGCACACGCGCACGCACATATTTACGCATATGCACCTACAGTATATGTATATATATACATTGTTTATGGATATAAGTATATATAGTGTTTATATGCATATATATATATATATATATATATATGGATATAAGTATATATAGCATATATATATATATATATATACGCATACATATACTCACGTTGCGTGTACTAATAGGTACTAGCATACACATATCTTAATAATATAACATAGAGTATACATAAGCAGAAAAGTTTCTTTTAAACAAATTTCTTTACTCTGCTTTTTTATTTTTTTTTTTAGGTTTTTGTTATTTCTTATGATTAGATTTTATATGAGTATTTATGTGTTTTTTGGATTGTAGAACGAGCACTTTCAAGACAGCCCATACTCTACCGGAAAATGATTATAACACTACAAGAAAACCGGAGAGAACAGAAACTGAATATAATGACAAGTACAATAACAACAACAGCAAGTACAATTATAACAGCCATTATGCAGCTTCCAAGACAATAGTATTGCAGCAAAGGCAACGTCGAGATATCTCTTCATCTCCGTCATCCATGCACGGTAAGTAAGTAAGTGAATGCGGCCAGGCAACAAAAGCCAATGTAAAAGTAAGCTAGCGAACCAGCCAACCAACGAATCAACCCAGTAGCAACACTCAATAGTTAGAAACAACTTTTATTCAGCCAACAGCCAACAAACCAATTCATATTGTTCACAATATAGATATAAGAAGTTGTTGCTGCTTTGTTGTTTGTATTGAAGTTGCTCTAGCAAGTAAGCAATGAAATACGGAGAACAATTTAAAAATTCAGAAGAAAAAACACTTAGTGTAAAAGTTATTCGGGAGCTAAATCATTGGAGTAAATAATTGTTGTACCAGAGACCTTAAAATAAATGAAACTTTTCCTTTTATAAGTGAAAGAAAATATATTTTAACTGCTTGGTAAAATAGGAAAAGAAAATCATTTAAATTTTATTCTTTCTGCATTAATGATGTCAGTGACGATCGCCACGAAATTAATTGAAAACGTATTGTCGTTATGGATGTTCTTCTTGCTTATGGCTTTCGTTTTCGAACTTATTCATCAAAGACATCCTAATGTTTTCGCGATATAAAAAAAAATAGAATAAATAAAATAAATTAAATATTTTCGTTAGTGAAAACTAAAGTTCAGTGATTCAAGTTCCTTCCTTCCTTTACAATCTACAGAAACAAAAGAATTACAAAATTTAGGAAGCCGATGCCAAAGTTAGCCCACATCTAAATTCCTTCAATAAAACACATTTTTATTGGTTATATCTTGCAAAACAACTATCGGAAATCATCTTTTTAAATATTGCCCTTGTTCACTCTAATAGTTACATGCGAATTCTGAACTGATTATTATTATTATAATAAATTTTTTTTGAGCCGAAAGCCTGTGTTGCTAGTGCTCAATGTCTTTTTTTTAGTCTAAGAATTCAATTCATTAGTCTAAAATTAAAATAATAACAATAATAATAATATAATAAATTTAGCCAAAGAAATAAACTCTAAGACTATGCCCTTAAAACACTACCAGCTATCGCCTATGGGCTTAAATTTTTTGATTATTTCATAATGCATTTTCAAAAAACATAGGCCCTGTGTATATATTATGCTCATGTATAGCTTCTTCGCATATACAAATTAATTTGAGCTGTAAACAAAAACAATACCTTATAAATTAGTGTCATATGATGCTGCTCAAACACGCCAATACATAATAGTTGAAGGCCGTTAGACGAATGTGAAAACCATCTTCGAGATGAAAAGATTGTTTTCATCAATTAATTTTGACAGAAATAGCTGAGGACTCGTGATAGGTCTCGTGAAGACCTTCACTATTTTTGTCTTGGGTATGATATACTTTTCTTTATAAAGCAATTGCGTCTTCTTCAAAAGAACAGTGTCTTTCTCCACGCTTGTCTCATCGAGCAAGAACTGTGTTTCTTAAATGTTGTTTCATGGAACTTTACTTCCAGAACCTCTGGAGCAAATAATCTAAATCAAAAAATCCAAGAGAAGAGAGAAAGAAAAATATCTACTAAAATATCTTTCTATGACTTAATTAACCGTTGACATAGGCGCATAAGAGCACTGCTTCAAACTGATCTTCAAAGCAGCAAAGCAGAAACTCTCAAAACAGTTGTTTATTGAAAATTTCTTGACTTTTCGACGATAGATTAAACGGAATAAAAATAAGATAAGATGGATGAATAAAAACTGCAATTACAAGCCCCGCGAGAGTTCTTCAGAAAATGTACAGTTGCTATTAATAATATTAGCTTGAATTTCTGCGTCCATCTCTTTAATTGATGTACAATTTGCCTTGAGGTAATTTTAATGAGAACCACGCAACGTTGCCAAGTTTCATAAGGTTGACATTTAACGAACATCAAAAGATAAAAAGGCCGTAAATTTTTGCAATAATAATATAATGAAGAAACTAATAGAAAACGTTTCCCTGTGCCCAGTTTATCAGTCTATCTTAGCGACACCGTAATAACCATATGTACAAGACATATTTGAGTTTATGGTTTGCGTGACTCAATAGCTGCTTTGTTTTATAACATAATTGGTATCAGAGTATTTTTGATGATGGTGTTTTCTGTTACGATTCACGATCCGTCATAGCGCCGAAATATACATCTGTGTCTGCCTTCTTAAAACTATTTTTTTTTTTTTCATTTTTAAAGCGGATCCCTTTATTGAATTTTTCACACCAAATCATCGCAAAGTTTTAGAAGAGCAAGATATAGAAATTCGTAAGCGAACTGGTCTAAAAGGAGCTGCACCTGATGGCGATGAATGGATCTATTTAAACACATATTGTCGTGTACCGGAGAAAATTATTACGGGCTTTTGCAAAAGTACCCAAGAATATTGTCCGCCCGGTCCGCAAGGATTACTTGGACCCGTGGGGCCGAAAGGCCCAACAGGACCACCTGGTTTACCTGGTATGCATCTGGTTGTAAAAGTTTACAACTATTCAAATAGTTAAGTTTCAATATTTTACGCATTTATAATGATAATCGTTTTAGGCATACCGGGTCCAAAAGGCAACCGCGGTGACGTTGGACTGCCGGGACCAACGGGTATAGATGGACCTATGGGTTTGCGAGGGCCAAAGGGTGATATCGGAATACCTGGACGACCCGGTTTAGACGGTAGAGATGGCGTACCGGGAGAACCGGGCTTGGATGGTGTGCCTGGCAGGGCCGGTGCTGATGGTATTCCTGGTAAAGATGGTCTCCCTGGGCGTGATGGTAAAGACGGTCAGCATGGTAAAGATGGCAAAGACGGTGCACCAGGTCCAAAAGGCTCGCAAGGTCCACCTGGTGAGAGAGGTCTTAAAGGTAAACATTTTCAAATGCAATTTAAAGCCAGTAACAGTATTATCAAGCAAACCTCTAACAAGCGCTAATTTTTCTATGAAATTTGGATGTAATATGGCAAAAGAGAGAAATATTTATAGCTATAATCCGATTGTATGCTGCTGGCGTCCGTAGCATTAATATAATGCAAAATTTATTTAAGTTCTTTTTCAATTATGGGTATTTTCTTGTTTTTTTTTGGACGAAATTGTACTCATTTTGAAACGTGTGAGGAAAAGCTAAATATCTATTCGTAGGTTTTCATTTATATTTTTAGGACCGTAAGCATTATATATGGAGGACAGACCATATATATGTATGGTTGACATACCTAAATACAATAACAAATTTGTAATGTGTATCTCTCTGTCCTAAAAACGGACTTGAAAACAGTGAAAGTAAAGATATTAGAACCACGTCAGCATTGTACATTATATATTGAGATACAGAAAATTAAGCACGAATATTATAGCCGGTCAAAGCTGCCAATTACTTTCCTTACTCCACTTCGCTTAGTACAGCGACTAGCTCGTTTTGGTACACATTTATGCATGCAAAGCCATAATTTTCATGAAAACCCCTATACTGGAATTTTAGGTTTTCTCGCCATGTTAGACTTTGCAGTTCGTGATAGCGCCTATATATGTTGAGGACTAAAAAAAATAAACCTTTTTGATCCAAATTCCCTGCCATTAATTTGTTTGCTGAACAGCTATTATGAATTAATCTTCATGGTAAAATAATACAAATGAAACCTTTTTCCGAAGCGCTTCCTACTCCTGAGATGTCTTATATGGAGTGCGGCCAAGAAATAGAGATATGTTGTTGAAATTTGGTTTTCTTATTTTTTTTTTTTTTAACTACCATCATGAACAAAATTTCATCACAAAAGAATTAAAAATTAGGCTTTTTTGGTATACAAGAGTTGACGTTTTATGAGAATTCCTATCTACGGAAATATCCAAAAAATAGACCTACGTGGTCCAAATTCGTTCAATTTGTCAATTTGTTATTATGAACCAACTTTCATTGCGAAGAATTGGAAATTGAACTTTCTCATCATATAAGGCTTCAGTTTCCGTAGGCACGGTTATATGAAAAGGGGTTCAAAAAATTGTCACTGCCGGTCCAAATTTCTCACACCAATTTAGAATACTACTAGAAATACTATTACTCCGCCAATTTTGCCAAGACATTGCGAACATTGCATATTTTTCCACACAACGGCTTTTAAGAATGGGGCGCTATCTGGGAAGTAGTCGAAAAAGTGGACCAACCCAAACCATTTTCTGTAGCGTTCACCCTTCAGCCACAAGAGCTCAATCTAAAAAATTCCATCAAAATATGTCGAAAATTGTTATCTGCAAGTTGAACACAAGGTGGACTGACAGAAAGATGTACAGACAAGCTTCGATAAATTCGGAAAGTGATTACGACTTGATCACTATAATAAAAGGTTGATCTTTCTCAAGTCCTTCTGGGTATTGCGTAGACAAGCACAAACTTAACATATCACTTGTGGTGCAGGTCATGGCACCACTATTCAGAGAGTAGTGTAGTTAATTTGCTTGCTTCACTTTTTGTACGATAGCCAGTCTGTGATAAAATCTGAAGACTACAAAAAATATCGTAAAAAAGTTTTTGTAGTTCATACTTTAAGACTAACTGAATTAGATCAATCAATTTTTAATGGTTTCACATATTTAACACATTTTTCTTCTAGCAAAAGAAGAACACGAAAACTTCATTTTCTTAAAAGACAAAGAAATTTTTGTTTTCATTTATTTATTTATTTTTTGCTTACTTGCTGTTTATTTTTTGTTGTTTGTTGTAAGGCTTATGTAGAATTGACCGAATGGCAAAGTTTTCTTTCTATTTGCTTTTTTTCTCCTATTTTCTTTTACTAGTAGCTGTGTAAATGTTTAAGTAAAGAAGACAAACAAAATTTTATGCTCTAACTCACACTGTCTACCCTTTTTAAAGTGCCCTTCAACCCTTCATTTCCCATAGTCATGTTGTTCAAGTCCTTTGAACTGTTATTCTGAAAGTGGAAATTTTTTTCACTTGAGTTACAATTAAGTTGCTTTAGTTGAGTTACATATACACACAAACATATATATATATATATATACATATACGTATATGTATATATACATGCCCTAAAGATGAAAACGCACACACACGTACATTTATTTGATTCGACAATTTTAGTATTTATGTTTTTTACAGTTGATGGACCATGATTAATAGTAGTGTGATTAATGAGTACAGCAAGAAGCAAAAGAGAAAACGTAAACAGCATAGAAGTATCGCCAAAACTATATTATGACTTTTTAATGATGTAAAATACTTAAGGGAAGCAACTAAAAAACTAAAAGTCAAGTTCTCCATGACACGGCAACGTAAAGTGTGATTTTCTTATTTACGAATAAAATACAAGTTTTAATATAAACTGGAAAATTAAATTTCTTCTTTTTCTGTTGTACATTGCAGGCATCGCGGGGCAACGTGGTAGACCTGGTAAATCCGGAGCTGACGGTATACCTGGGATTCCGGGTATAAATGCTTGGAAAGTGCAACTGCAAAATGGCTCCTATTCTCATGACTTATTAATACCGCCCTCAATCACAGGTAAGCGAAGTCGCAAATTTTTACTCCGTTTACATATTTAATTTTTTAGTATATTATTATATGTTAAAGAAGCTGGTATAGAGAGCAGTTGTTAGGTATATATTCGTTTTGTCATTCCGTTTGCATTTTCCAACAAGGCTTTAACGATTAAGAAATCACTCAGAAACCTTATCTATCCGTAGTCGAGGCAAGATCCTAAATGAGCGATATCCCTTCTTTTATATTCAAAAGCTTTTTAAGTTAACTATGTCCCATTGATAACCATTTGCAATTTTTCTAATAAGATAAGTATATCATCACGTTAAAATTGCTGTGATTTGTAATGCCATCAAGTGAACGCTTCTTCTTAAGTCAACTTGACACTATTAAGATAATTGTGAAGGTAGCGGAGCAATGCTAGTCAATTGAACCAGGTCCGCATTAAAGTGTGGATGCATTAAAACTTCTTAACCAAGCTCTCTCAATTTTTGCCGAGTCATTAGAGTTGCGTGTAGTGTTGTTTGTGTGGCGCAAGTGTTTTGCTATCGACAAAATCTGTGCTGTAAGAGCAGACAGTAGCTTGGCCGGGTAGGAGCAATCTATGACACACAATTACCTCTAATTGCGCAAAATGCAAAGCGTTCCCTTAGATGGGGTCAATCCGGACCTTGTGTCTCTTTGTGCGTCATTCATCTCAGAACGACCCCGTTTTCACAAACAACGTGTGGCCTACTTTTCATCATCCTCCTTGTCAATCAATGACCTTATTTCGTTTAATTACTTCAGCCCCGAATTGGCAAATTAAAGGTCCACCTATTAACTTTTCCACTGTTCAGATATGTGGGGGTAAAAGCCTGAGACAGTTCTTCCGCAGCGAGTTAATTAGTTCATGCCTTCTACAATTTTTTGGAAAGTTTCATCGACTTTGGCTGTCTAGAGCAGGGAACGCTTTAACGTGATTTCCAGAGCACAAACGAAGAAACCTCTTGTGTGCTGCTAATGTTAACGAAACATTTCCGTTGCAAACAACAGGAATTTTTTCACGCATTTACAACGAATCTAAGCGTACTCGCACAAGTACGGCAAGTAAACAAACTATGATTATCACATCACTCAAGAACTCTCCAGTTTGGTATCTGGTCAGTTTAGACGGCTTTCACTGATTGCTGTCACCTCAACTGGCTGCCGGTTTGACTCAGGGGTGTAGTAATGAGTGCTTGTTTAATCCATCGTCACATGACAAAATCATTTTTATTTCACTTGAATAGCGGCAAGCAGTGCTTTGAATCATCTACAGAGCTTTCATTGAGTACATTAAGCCTCGGAAATTCGGCTTCCAGATGCTTGTTAGCCAGGATTTCGTCGTGTTCCTGTATATTGGCGACTAGCATGCCATCAACTTCGGAGCACGCTTCTTCCTTTGTTAGCGTTAGGTCGCTTAGGCATGCTTGGCAGTTTAGCTGCTCACGGATGTATTGGGCTATTCCATAGCCTGTGAGCAGCCTAAAGTATTCCGCCTCGTTAACGGTCAGACGATTGGCAGCTACTTTGAACGGTACCCCATTCAAATCGTAAGGCATGAACTCATCCTCGGCCTGGGCTGGTGTTGTGTAATCCAGCTTTTCAATGAGCTCGTAATCGTCATCAGTGCTGGATCCGTCTCCCCAAAATTCTAGTTGTTGTTTCATTAGGCGGGTGTCCAGCTTCATTATATTTTCCACCTGTCTTGTTTTAGTTCTCTTGCCTGGCGCCATCTTACAGAAAAATCTCTCCAAAAGGTCTTGGCTTACCCTGTAGGCGTGTATGGTTATGCCAGGGTAAGCCTCCAGCAGGCCATCCATTATTTCCATGAATTTGTCGATGGTTTGCAAGGTGAACTTAGTTGCCTTTTCTGTTTCGAAGTTAGCATTTATACAGGTTTTCACTTTTGTCAGCACCGCCTTCTGCCCTTCCCATTGGGCGCTGCATATTTCGCCTGTGTGTATGACTTCGCAGAATTCAGTCAGAGAAGCGATAACCTTGCAAGTGCGTAAGTCTTGTTCTTTATGGATAATTTTTCTCCGCACAGCGACGTTTAAGTTTGCCACTGTTGCGGGAGTGAATAGCTGCACACAGTTTTTTACATGTTGTCCAGAAGTGTTGATCAAGCATGCACCTCTTCTCTTCAAGTAATTTGAAGTGCTGAGTTTTCTCGCATGCGCCCTAGTGACGACGGAAATGTCGAACAGGTTGCTGTTTGCCATCAGCCAGTAAATGCTGCATATTAGGTGTACGTAGTCGGTCAGATAGTATATTTTATAAATGGTGCCGTCCGCTCGCTTTCGTTTATAAGTTCCGTTTCGAAACTTTCCCAATGTGTGCAGGTTTGGGTTGCTCCTGTCGCAGACTACCGCTTTAACTTCCAGGCCGGCCTCCTCTGCGATACCTAAGCATCTGTCCAGTTCGTCTGGAGCTCCATTATAGTTGGTTATGGGAGTGGCGCTGATCAATATATTGAAGCTTGTCAGCAGGCTACGTACAGCGAAGAAGAGTACTGTGCGGTACTCTTCCGTTCTTGTAATTTTTCCGCAGTTGTTGTAGCCGCAACCGTACAATATATCCTCGGTCCGAGAATATCTCATCTTGCCGCTGGTGTACACTTCGTCGAAGTGTAGCTGAACAACTTTGTCGTGAGGACTTAACCTCCCTACGACCTCCCGCAGCGCCTCGATATCCACTGTGAATTTCAGTTCACCTCGTTGAACAATTTCACTATTCTCTGTCTGCGCCTCCACGTTCGCTGCGTCATCAGCTTCTTGCATTTTGTGGCCACTTCCATTTTGGTCTGCAGCGGGAGCAAGGCGTCTCATCTTTTCTCTTCGCGCTGCTTCCGCCGATGTGCTTGGTCCCTCGTCGTATATCCGTGAACGGTTTCTGATATTATATCTACGCCTATTGGGGCTTCTTACGGCTAATGTTGATCTCTGAGTGTCCTGATCTGTCCGTTCCTCCGTCTGTATATTCATTTGTTCGTCCGTCTGTACGTCCATTTGTACGTTAGTCTGTACGTTTGTACATTTTTTGATTTGTTCTGTCTCATTTTCATCAAAACCCAAGAATATAGAGTGACTGTACTCAGAAATATTGTCAATCATATCGATTGGCTCAGAAATTTCTGGTTCAATGATCATGATTGGCTCAGA